TAGCTGTGTATGGTGCTGTGCAACTGAGGTCCCAGCTGCTTGGGAGGCTGAGGCGAGAGGATCACTGGGACCCGGGAGGTTGAAGCTACGGTGAGTTGTGATCATGCTACTATTTGTTAGAACTCAGGACAGTAGTAACCCTGGGGAGAGAAGTATAGTGACTAGAAGGGGCACAAAGGGGACTTCTGGCAATGCTTCCTTTCTTGATCTGGGTGCTAGTTACAAAGATGCATTCAGTTTGTGAAAAACTCGTCAAGCTGTACCACTTATGATTCACACACTTTTCCATATGCTATAATTTAATAAATGTACCTTCATGAAAATGTTAATGTACCACCTGCAATTTGTGCACTTTTTTTTTTTGAGAGAGTCTCTCGCTCACTCTGTTGCCCAGGCTGGAGTGTTGTTGGGTGATCTCAGCTTACAGCTCACTGCAACCTCTGCCATTTGGGTTCATTTTCCTCCTATAAGTTGTCTTTTTAATTGATTTGTGGGATTTCTCTACATTGTATAAATGAATCATTTGCAGGTTAAATGTGTCACAAATATTTCCTTGTACACTGTAGTTTCTCACTTTCTTTATGAAAGGTACCTATGTATAGATTATATATGTACATACGTTTATTTGTATATTGGCTTTATGCCCAGCAATCTTTTGATTCCTATAATTTATCTGTAGATTATTTAAAATGTTTAATGTATGCAATATAAGTAAACAGTGACAATTTTGTTTGTTCCTCTCCAATACTTCTTTCCTCCCTTCCCTCTTTCCCTCCCTTCCTTCCTTCCTTCTTTCCTTCCCTCCCAACCTCCTTCCCTCATCTCCTTCCTCCATCCCCCTTCCCCTTCCTCCCTCCCTCTTCCCCTTCCTCCATCCCTCTTCCCCTACCTCCATCCCTCTTACTCTTCCTCCATCCCCCTTCCCATTCCTCCCTCCCTCATCCCCTTCCTCCCTCCCTCTTACCCTTCCTCCATCCCTCTTCCCCTACCTCCATCCCCCTTACCCTTCCTCCATCCCCCTTCCCCTCCCTCCCTCCCTCATCCCCTTCCTCCCTCCCTCTTACCCTTCCTCCATCCCTCTTCCCCTACCTCCATCCCCCTTACCCTTCCTCCATCCCCCTTACCCTTCCTCCCTCCCTCATCCCCTTCCTCCCTCCCTCTTCCCCTTCCTCCATCCCCCTTACCCTTCCTCCATCCCCCTTCCCCTTCCTCCCTCCCTCATCCCCTTCCTCCCTCCCTCTTCCCCTTCCTCCATCCCTCTTCCCCTACCTCCATCCCTCTTACCCTTCCTCCATCCCCCTTCCCCTTCCTCCCTCCCTCTTCCCCTTCCTCCATCCCTCTTCCCCTACCTCCATCCCTCTTACCCTTCCTTCATCCCCCTTCCCCTTCCTCCCTCCCTCATCCCATTCCTCCCTCCCTCCCTTTTTCTTTCTTTCTTTTTGTTCATTGCATCAGTAGGGCCTGCACTACAATGCTGACAGATAATGTATTAGTTTCCTAAAGCTGCTGTAACAAAGCAGCACAAACTGGGTGCCTTAAAACAACGGAAATGTATTCTTCACAGTCCTAGAGACTAGACATCTGAAATCATGATATTGGCAGGATCGTACTCCCTCTGAAACCTGTAGAGGAATGCTTTCCAGTTTCTTCTTAGCTTCTGGTGGTTTGCTGCCAATCTTGGGTTTTCCTTGTCTAGTCGAGGCAGAATCCCAGTCTCTGCCTTCATCATCACATGGTATTCTCCCTCTGTCTCCCTGTCTTCACATGGCCACCTTATTTTAAGAGCACCAGATTATTGGATTTGGGGCCCACTTTACTCTGGTATGATCTGATCTTAACTAATTACATCTGTAACTATCTGATTTCCAGTGAGGTCACATTCTGTAGTACTGGGTGTTAGAACTTCAACGTATTCAACTCTTAACAGATGTAATGATGATAGTGGATGTCTGTATTTGATCTTAGTGGGAAAACTTTCAACTTTTCACCATTGAATGTGATGTTGGTCAGGTGCAGCTGCTCCCACCTGTAATCCCAGCACTTTGGGAGGCCAAAGGGAAAGCATCACTTGAGCCCAGGAATTCAAGACCAGCCTGGCCAACATGGTGAAACACCATCTCTCCTAAAAATACAAAAATTAGTTAGGCTTGAGTCCCAGCTACTCAGAGGCTGAGGCATGAGAATCGCTTGAACCTAAGAAGCAGAGGTTGCAGTGAGCCAAGATCATGCCACTGCATTCCAGCCTGGGTGACAGAAAGACTCCATCTCAAAAAAAAAAAAAAATAAACCCAAAAGCCAAAAAAAAAAAAAAAAATTGGTGATATCTGCTATAGTCTTTTAGTTGATACTCATCAGTAAGGAAGTTCCCTTTTATTTCTGTTTTTCTAAGTTCTTTAAAAATCATGAAAAATTTTAAATGAAATTTTAATTAGAAACATATTAAATTATTCTTCTGTATCTAACCTAAGAAGTATCTAGGATGATCATATTTTTTCCTTTATTTTATTACTAGTGAATTAAATATAAATATATATTTTTTAATATATATATTTTTTTAAGACGGGGTTTCACCATGTTGCTCAGGCTGGTCTTGAACTCCCAACCTCAGGTGATCACCCGCCTTGGCCTCCAAAGTGCTTGGATTATAGGCGTGAGCCACCATGCCTGACCAATATTTATATGTTTTATTTTTTGAGATGGAGTCTTGCTCTGTCTACCAGGACTGGAGTGCAGTGGCATGACCTCGGTTCACTGCAACCTCTGCCCCGCTGGGTTCAAGCAATTCTTCTGCCTCAGCCTCCCAAGTAGCTGGGATTACAGGCATGTACCACCACGCCCAGCTAATTTTTGTATTTTTAGTAGCCTCCCAAAGTGCTGGGGTTACAGGCGTGAGCCACCATGCAAGCCTAAATTTATATATTTTTCAAAAGATAATGTCAGCCCCAAATACTAAAAACACAACTAACTGTGGTTTCTCGGTTGGGGCCCTAATCTGGAACCCAACACTTGCTGATTTCACAAGTGTGACTGGTTTCTGAAAATTTTCTATGAGGCCCAACACACCAAACCAAAATGGAGTTTATTGGTATTTCAGATTCACACCACCAAAATTGAAATCTCTCTTTTTTTTTTTTTTGAGACAGAGTCTCGCTCTGTTGCCAGGCGCCAGGCTGGAGTGCAGTGGTGTGATCTTGGCTCACTGCAACCTCCGCCTCCCGGGTTCAAGCGATTCTCCTGCCTCAGCCCTCCGAGTAGCTGGGACTACAGGCGCGCGCCACCACGCCCAGCTAATTTTTTGTACATTTAGTAGAGACGGGGTTTCATTATGTTGGCCAGGATGGTCTCGATCTCTTGACCTCGTTATCTGCCTGCCTCAGCCTCCCAAAGTGCTGGAATTACAGGCGTGAGCCATCGCGCCCGGCTCAAAATTAAAATCTTTATCTGATAATTTAAGAAACCAGGAAAGAGAAATAATAGCTGAATGTGCAAATAGTCCATTTTTAGCCAGCATGATAAAGAAGTCCTCTCTGCTTTAACCTTATAAGAAACTTTGAAACATCCAATCCACTTTTAGTTTTCTGTTTCTGCTTTGCCCCCAATCTCGGCTCACTGCAACCTCCACCTCTCCGGTTCAAGCAATTCTCCTGCCTCAGCCTCCCGAGGAGCTGGGACTACATGCACGGCTAATTTTTGTATTTTTAGCAGAGATGGGGTTTCACCATGTTGGCCAGGCTAGTCTCAATCTCCTGACCTCGTGATCCACCTGCCTCAGCCTCCCAAAGTGTTGGGATTACAGGCATGAGCCACTGCACCCAGCCTCTGCTTTTCTTTTCTGTCTATGAAATCATCCTGCTGGTTCTGCTCATTGGAACACTGGTTCTACTTTATAGAATGCCATGTTGCCTGATTCTAGAATAGTAGGTAAAAGCCAATAAAGATCTTTAAACTAAATTTGTTGTAATTTTGTCTTTTGACACGTAATCTTCTGTATATTTGTTATACTTCAATAAAAAGTATAGAAACATAACTAAATTTCTATTTGAAAACAGAAGCTCTTCCTTCTGAAGGATGCCTTGCTGCTCCACTTTCCACTCATGTTCACCTTCTGAGAGAGGTGAAGATCTGGGTTGCTAAGATGGAAGGTCAAATCTTTGCATGGTACTCAAGTTACGCACTGACACACCTAATATTCTCACAGTTCTCCCCCTCCCACCTCACCCAACGAATTCAGTGTATTAGCTTTTTAGTGACTCACTCAAGCTAAAGAAAGAGTTTGTTTGGTATTATGTTGAGAGTTTTTGGAAGATTGTTTTCCAGGTTGTCTTCAGATCACCTTTGTATCTGGTTTTTCCTCTCGTTGCTTTAGCTCTGAGACAAAGATTTATATGTGTTGAGACAGTCCAAAAAATTCAATTTCTCCCCTTTTACAATTCCTGCAGATGTTATTTATATGTCTGAAGGAATTGGTGTAATCTTACACTTCACCTTGAAAATACCTTTCCATTCTTCACAGCTTTGTTCTCAGTGGAATTTTTGGGTAGAATTGAGTTAGGTCTATCATTTAATTTGGGAGAAACTGATTTCTTTGTAATTTTTCTTCTTTTCACTCAGGATCATGGTAAGCCTCTCCATTATTTAAAGTCTAATTTATCCTACTCAGATATGATTCTTTATGACTCTGTAGTTTTCTATATATAAGTCCCACATCTTTCTCATTAGAGTTTTTCCTGGTTGCTTTATGTTTTTTGTTGTTGTTGCGATTGTTGCTATTGTGAATGGAACCCTTTTTTTTTTTTTTTTTTTTTTCATTCAAAAACGAACCCATGGAGCGATAGGATCTCTACCACCCTTTTCGGCTGTGAGACTCTATGGTTTTTTAGTTCTATGAGAACATTCTACTTGCGCCTACATTATCCGGACCCAAAGGAAGATGGCAACCGCGAGTCGCCAAGCAAAGGGCCGCTCTACCTCGCCTTTGTTCTCGTCTTGGTGGTTACTGCGCAGGCGTAGTCGCCCAAGTCGCGTCCCCGCCTTCCCGGTCGCGGGCCCACCTCGGGAGCGCCGGCGCACTGCCGCGCTCCGTTTACACGCTCCGGGGCCTGTAGGCGCCGCGAGTTCCGGCTGTCGCCGTCGCCGCCGCGGCTCCTTGAGGTCGGTTGCGACGAGTAACGGCGCCAGGACGAGCCCTGCGCCTTCTTTTTCGATATGTACCCGAACTGGGGCCGGTATGGCGGGAGCAGCCACTATCCGCCGCCGCCGGTCCCACCGCCGCCGCCGGTGGCGCTTCCTGAGGCCTCGCCGGGGCCGGGGTACTCGAGCTCGTCTACTCCCGCGGCCCCCTCCTCCTCGGGCTTTATGAGCTTCCGCGAACAGCACTTGGCGCAGCTCCAGCAGCTGCAGCAGATGCACCAGAAGCAAATGCAGTGCGTGCTTCAGCCCCACCACCTTCCTCCGCCCCCCCTGCCGCCCCCGCCGGTGATGCCGGGGGGCGGCTACGGAGACTGGCAGCCGCCGCCGCCACCGATGCCCCCGCCACCTGGGCCGGCCCTCAGCTATCAGAAGCAGCAGCAGTACAAACACCAGATGCTCCACCACCAACGAGACGGGCCTCCTGGTTTGGTTCCAATGGAGCTGGAATCCCCCCCTGAATCTCCCCCTGTGCCGCCCGGGTCCTATATGCCCCCATCTCAGTCTTACATGCCCCCACCTCAGCCGCCACCCTCTTATTACCCGCCGTCCTCATCTCAGCCCTACCTGCCTCCTGCTCAGCCGTCCCCTTCCCAGTCCCCACCTTCCCAATCCTACCTGCCGCCCACCCCTTCTTATTCATCCTCCTCCTCTTCCTCGCAATCCTATTTGAGCCATTCCCAGTCCTACTTGCCCTCTTCTCAAGCATCTCCTTCCCGCCCCTCCCAGAGCCATTCTAAATCCCAACTACTAGCTCCACCACCACCGTCCGCACCCTCTGGAAATAAGACAGCTGTCCAGCAAGAGCCTTTGGAGAGTGGGGCCAAAAACAAGAGTGCTGAACAGCAGCAAGCCACCCCTGAGCCAGATCCCTCTACGATGACTCCACAGGTAAGAAAGCATCTGCCTGAGCCGCATCTTTCACCTAGAGGGCCCTGAGTGAGCAGGCCTCAGGGCTTTAACCAGTGCTTAGTCTAATTCCAACACACAATGACTACCTAACACTCCAAAGGATTTCATAAGAGTCAGAGGGCTGACAGCTCAGCTTTTTAATTAGCTAAATGTGGATTACTAAAAAGAAAAAAAAAAAAAAAAACCAGCGTTTGTAGATGTGTATAGATCACATACAGTGGTGGCATGGGTCAAAAGTTACTTCTCAGTGGTTTCTTTGACCATCCTCTTAGATTTTGTTGCTGTTGCAAATAGATTTTGTTGCAGAGGGTCTTGTTTTAAATTGTATTTTAAACTAAAATTTTCATTTGAGAGAAAGCGTGAAAAAGTGGCTTCTCCAAGGGCTGACACTTGAATGTTTGTAAACCTTACGACCAGTTAACTTCTTTTAAAAATACTATTTAGGGGCCAGGGATAGCTGTCAGCTTCCTGAATTAAGTGGTTTCAGATAACGAGGGATGGAAATCTTGTTTTACCAAGAGCAGTCTAATTATGCTTATAGGTACATATACAATACATAGGTGAGTTCCTAGACCCCCCCAAAGGATCCCTAGACCCTTTTGGAGTTCAGTTGATCCATTTTAGGAATTGACCCATACATCCTTTTCTCATATTGTTTAAAGATAGTTTTAAGATATGAGCAATTGGCGGGGCGCGGTGGCTCAAGCCTGTAATCCCAGCTACTCAGGAGGCTGAGGCAGGAGAATTGCCTGAACCCAGGAGGCGGAGGTTGCGGTGAGCCGAGATCGCGCCATTGCACTCCAGCCTTGGTAACAAGAGCGAAACTCCGTCTCAAAAAAAAAGATATGAGCAATTTTCTGCATTTCATTATCATTATCATTCAGTCCAAAGAAAGAGCCTTGGAATTTGGCCAACGTAAAAAAATGTTTCATGATATCTTTTCGTGAGAGAGCCAGCTATTCTTCTAAATTTCTGTTTGGAATGAGTCCCACAGAACAAAGATTGACAGGGCATCAGTAATAAATGAATTCCCCTTTGAGAGAGGGAAGGTCAGACTAAAGCAGAATAAATCAGTTGTTATGATTTCCTAAAGTAGACACTTTTAGCAATTACTAATTCACTTTAGATTTTCATAAGGGAAAAAAGAATCTTGTAATATAAACGCTCAGATTTACCTATAAAACAGTTCCAAAAGATAGGGATGCAATATTGTAATTTTATGGTGGTTTGGCATTAGAAATTAAGAACAGAAGCAAGTTGTTTTAAGAAATGATGCTTGGCACATCTTCTGGAGAAAACACTTGGGATGCCGCAGTAAAGTAGTAGAATAGTGATTCTGTTGCCTTACATCAAATTTGTACCATCTGACCAGTTTGTTTTCCCCAGATCGCTCTATTATAGACAGAATTCCTGTCCCCTTTCCCACCCCACTCTGAAGTTTTTAGTGCTTTTGTTGTCAAACATTCTCAGAGTTAGTCTGAGCCAAAATAGGACATTTATATTCTCTCTACTAGACTGTTTTCCCGACCTTACAGAGAGACAAATTTATTGTATTTTTGACTTTTTTTGGGAGGAGTGTGTGTGTCAGACCAGGCCTTACCATGAACAGTGCTTTTACTTTTCTGCCTTTGTACCCTTGTCTGCAATGAACTCAGTGTCTTAAATGTTCAGTGCCTGCAATTCTTTGGTGAGAGAAAGAGTGGTGGAAGATGAGGCTTGTGGTGCACGTAGGCCAGATCAAGAAGAGCCTTTAAGCCTGTGGCTTTACCTCTTTCTAGAATTCATCCCTTCTTCAACCCTCTGTTTCCCCTTTGAGTTGTATTGCTTTCAAGGCATATCTCAAATATCAAGGTTTCCAGGAAGCTCTGCTTGCGCTCACCCATCTGGTTTGGTGGTTCTTCAGATTTTAAGTCCCTTGCAGACAGGAATTATCTTGCTTATCTTTTATCCCTGTAGCACCTAGGACAGTGCCTTGCAAATTGTAGGCTCTCCACAAAGATTTGTTGAATAAAATATGAGAATTGTCATGTTCTGGACTTAGGATATGTTGGTTTATTAGATGATAAATATTTCTTCATGCCAGTGCCAGTCTCTGACAATTAATCCTTCTACATATTGATTATTCTTTGATTCATGTTTTGTTTTTGGAATGCGTCATTCAAAATTTCTTATGGTAAAAGATTTAAAAAATACACAAAATAGAGAAAACAATATGGTTTCCCAAATATACCCATCATTCAAATTCAACAGCTATCAAGATTTTTTCATGTTTACTTCACCTAGGCCTTTTTTTAATGTGTGTGTGTGTGTGTGTGTCTGTGTGTGTGTGTGTGTATATATATAAAATATGAAGAGAGCCAGAGACAGAGATAGGGTCTTGCTCTGTCTGTCACCCAGGCTGGAGTGTAGTAGCATAGTCTCGGTTCACTGCAACCTCTACCTCCCCAGGCTCAAGCCATCCCAGGTAGCTGGGACTATAGGTGCATGCCACCATGTCCAGCTAATATATATATATATTTTTTGGGTAGAGATGGGGTTTTGCCATGTTGCCCAGGCTGGTCTTGAACTCCTGAGCTCAAACAGCCCACTTTCTTGACCTCCCAAAGTGCTGGGATTACAGGCATGAACCACCATACCAGGTCGCTGCTGAAATATTTTAAAGCAAGTCTTAGATCTTAGGTCATTTCATCCCTACATTCTTAGTCAAGTACCTCTAAAAACCAAAAAACAAAAAAAAGGCCTTTTCTTAGAGAAACACATTGTTAACACCTAACAAAGTTAAGTTTCGTGGTATCATCTAATACCTGATGAATTCAGATTTTCTTTATTGTTTCATCATACTAATGAAATTAAAAATAATTCTTTGATACCATCCGTGTTAAAATACCCCAAATTGACTCGACAGTGTTGTTGTTTTCTGTCCTCACAGTCCTTTCCCAAACAATGTTTTGGTGGCGTGTTCGTATCAAAATCCAAATAGAATACTGAAAAGACTCTTGCTATAGATCAGGGTTTCTCAGCTTCAGCCCTGTGGACACTTTGGGCAGAGTGAATTCTTTATTGTAGAGGGGCTTGTCCTAAGCATTGTAGGATGTTTAGCAGCATCCCTAACCTCTACCCATTAGATGCCAGTGGCAGCCCCCAGTCCAACAACCAAAAATGTTTCCACATATTGCCAAATATCCCCTAGGACAAAACTGCCCTCAGTTGAGAACCCCTGACCTAGGCCATTCCCTCCTATTTTATCTTTCTACCTCATGCCATCGAACTTGATGAAAAAATCTGTGTCAGTTGTCCTGTAGAATCTCTGACATTCTGTATTATCTGTTTTTTCATGGTGTAATTTGACTTGTTCCTCTGTCTTCTGTGTTTTTTTTTTTTTTTTTTAAATTAGAAGTTAACTCTGGAATCTTCATTTAAGTTCAGCTTTCTTTTGGTAAGTTTGCATTCCATCATGAGGCACCCAGTGCCTGATTGTTCCACCGTTGGTAATGCCATTAGTCCCACTACTGTAAAACTCTCTATCAATCTTGCATCTGATGTTTCAGTCTACTGCTTCATCCATTGAAGTTCTTTGGCTAAGTAAATTATTTAATTAGAGGTGCAATCTGGTGATTTTTTTTTTTCTGCCATTTCGTCTACATTTACTATATAGAATTCTGTAAAGAAAAACTTTTGCCACAAGTATTTGATTGAAAATATAGTTGGTATAGGAAGGACAAGATAAATACCTGATATTATTCCATTATTTTCTAGTTTTTCAGGTAAAGCGTTGATGATACGATGGAATGGAATGTGTCTTTTTTTTTTTAAAAGAGATAGTGAGCCTGGCTCTGTTGCTGGAGTGCAGTGGTGAAATCTTGTCTCACTGCAACCTCCTGGGTTCAAGCAGTTCTCCTGCCTCAGCCTCCCAAGTATATGGGATTACTGGTGCACACCACCATGACTAGCTGATTTTTGTATTTTTAGTAGACGGAGTTTCACACCATGTTGGCCAGGCTGGTCTCAAACTCCTGACCTCAAGTGATCCACCTGTTTTGGCCTCCCAAAGTGCTGGGATTACAGGCGTGAGCCACTGTGCCCGGCCAGAATGTGTCTTTTCAAAGAATTAATTTTTCTGTGTGTTTAAGGGACTGACTGACTTATTTAAAGCTGTTGGCTTTGGTTAGTTTTTAGAGGTGTTATTTATTTAATGTTTAAGCATTTATTGACTAGCAACTATGTGCCAGGTACTATAAGTACTATGCTTAATACCGGAGATGAAATGGTGAACAAGATAGATATGGTACCTGCCCTCATTGACTTCTTGTTCCAGTTGTGGGGGAGGGGAAAAGACATTTAATAAGTAATTAAAAGGAGACCTGCAGGGTGTTAGATGATTCTCCAAGGAACTGGTGAAGGCAAGTTGGTTTTTTTCTTCTTTTAAGTTACCACAGTATTCACGGTGCCATGCAGAGGGGTCTAGCACATAGGAGGCAGAGAACAAATGTGTTTTAAATAATTGAATATAGCTAGGAGCTCTAACCTAATTAAAGAGGCCTCCCTTTGTAAAGTGATATTTAAGTGAAATCTAAAGAATAAGTAGGAGGACGGGGTGCTCCCACCTGTAATCCCAGCTCCTTGGGATCATTTGAGGCCAGGAGTTCAAGGCCACCCTGGGCAATAAAGTGAGACACTCCCTTTACAAAAAATTTTAAAAACTAGCCAGTGCCTGTAGTTCCAGCTACTTGGGGGTGGCTGAAGTGGGAAGATCATTTAAGCCCAGGAGTTCTTGTGCCACTGCACTCCAGCCTGGGCAACAGAGTGAGACCTAAAAAAAAAAAGGCCAAGTATAGTGGCTCACGCTTAAAATCTCAGCACTTTGGGAGGCCGAGGCAGGCAGATCACTTGAGGTCAGGAGTTCAAGAGCAGCCTGGCCAACATGGTGAAATCCTGTCTCTGCTAAAAATAAAAAAAATTAGCTGGGTGTGGTGGCATAT